AGGCATGCGTGAGCGTGTTTGATAGGAGTGAATGGAGACAAATGGTTTTTAATACTTGACGTGCTGTTGGAGTGTGAGCAAAGTAACATTTATGAAGGGATTCAGGGAAACCGGCAGGCCGGACTTGAGTCCTGGAGATGGGAAGTACAGTGCCTGCACTCTGAAGGAGGGGTGTTAATGTTGCAGTTTAAAAACTGTAGTGTAAAGCACCCTTCTGGCAAGACAGTGATGGAGTGAATGATGGTGAAAGTTTTTTTTTTTCGGGCCACCCTGCCTTGGTGGGAATCGGCCAGTGTGATAATAAAAATAAAATAAATTTAACCAGTGGATTTTGCTTATAATTTTAGAAGTTCTTTATATTGAGGGTTTACTGTACTATATACTGTATATTACTGCTGGGACAATACCAAAACTTGTTGATATGAATAACAAACTTAATTTTAAATCGATACCAATGCTGTCAAATTTAGCAGATAGCCACTGATACTATCAAAATTGACTGGTACATACCAATGCTAAATTTGAGGCTGATAAAAATACCATTGAAATTTACCACTATCCACCAATACTGATTATTGGCACAACCCCTGTGTACTGACTGTTTACGTGGGGAGTCGAAGGTGCAGAGATGAGTTCTCCCTCGGTCTAGGATAAAATATTCGTAAAGAATTTAATTGTTGCAGGTTGCTAAGCATTTGTCAGCTAGTGGATGCAGGAAATTAAATAACTCAGCTGGTGCCCCCAGCTATAGGAAACTATGCGTGCCCATCTTTACTGGGTGCCCATAGTTATGTGGGGTGTGGCTAAGTGGATACAGTTTCGTACTGTGTACTTTGACTTGCTGCTCACACAAGTTGAGGTACAGAAGTGAATTGGATAAGACTGAACTTTGCAAGCAGGTGGTTGGGATGTTCTGTATATGGGAAATATGAAAGAAAAATAAGTCAAAGTGACTGGTTGGGGATTTCAATGCTAAAGTGGGTAAAAATGTTGTGGAGGGAGTAGTAGGTAAATTTGCAGTGCCAGGGGTAAATGAAAATGGGGAGCCTTTAATTGAGCTATGTGTAGAAAGAGGTTTGGTAATAGTAATACATATTTTTATGAAAAAGAGGATAAATAAATATACAAGGTATGATATAGCACGTAATGAAAATAGTTTGTTAGATTATATATTGGTGGATAAAAGGTTGATGGGTAGGCTTCAGGATGTACATGTTTATAAAGGGGCAACTGTTATATCGGATCATTACTTAGTTGTAGCTACAGTTAGAGTAAGAGGTAGATGGGACAAAAGGAAAGTGGCAACAAGTAAGAGAGGTGGAAGTGTATAAACTAAGGGAGGAAGAAGTTCAGGTGAGATATAAGCAACTATTGGCAGAAAGGTGGGCTGGTGCAAGTATGAGTAGTGGGGGGGGGGGGGGGGGGGTTGAAGAGGGTTGGAATAGTTTAAAAAAAAAAAATGCCATATTAGAATGTGGGGCTATAGGAGGGTAGATGCAGGAGGAAAGAGGAGTGATTGGTGGAATGATGAAGTAAAGGGTGTGATAAAAGAGAAAAAGGTAGCTTATGAGAGGTTTTTACAAAGCAGAAGTGTTATAAGAAGAGCAGAGTATATGGAGAGTCAAAGAAAGGTGAAGAGAGTGCAGAAGGAGAGCAGATGATAAAGTCGGAGAGGCACTGTCAAGAAATTTTAATGAAAATAAGAAAAAAAAATTAAGAAAGCCTAGAGAACGAATGGATTTGTCAGTTAAAAACAGAGTAAGGGAGTCAGTAGATGGAGAGATAGAAGTATTGGGTAATGGTGAGAATATTTTGAGGAACTTTTAAATGTCGACGAAGAAAGGGAGGTGGTAATTTCATGCACTGGCCAGGGAGGTATACCATCTTTTAGGGGTGAAGAAGAGCAGGATGTGAGTGTGGGGGAGGTGCATGAGGCATAACGTGGAATGAAAGGGGGTAAAGCAGCTGGAACTGACGGGATCATGACAGAAATGTTAAAAGCAGGGGGAGATATAGTGTAGGAGTGGTTGGTATTTTTGTTTAATGTATGAAAGAGGGGAAGGTACCTAGGGATTGGCAGAGAGCATGTATAGTCCCTTTATATAAAGGGAAGGGGGACAAAAGAGATTGTAAAAATTATAGAGGAATAAGTTTATTGAGTATACCAGGAAAAGTGTATGGTAGGGTTATTGCAAATAAATGGTATAAAATACCGACACAATGGAAATATAAACACACATGCAGTATGATGTGATCCTTTATTGACAACGTTTTTCCCACACAGTGGGCCTTTTCAAGTCGCAAACAGATCTACCTGAGTGGAAGGTACGAGAATATTTATAGTCAGGTTGAGAATACTGCATGTTATAATCTACCGAGTGGGGTAATAGTCTAAAATCTTGGGTAGCTTGGAAGAGAGATTGGATAAGTATATGTGTAGACCTTCTGCAGTGTTCCTTCATTCCTATGTTCTTATGTGGGATAGCGATAAAGAAGTTTCTTGGCAAGTGGTTCAGCTATGTTATAGAAGCCGTTGTTCTGGTTTAAGTTGTTGGATATAGAGATAAGCGATGATTCCAGGATTCTTCGGTATTGAGTGTTGTCTTCTCTGGCGATAAGTCTTGAGTTTCTGTAGTTGATTAAATGGGTGTGTGAATTACAGTGTTGTACACAGGCATTCCTTGGATATTCAGACCTGCTTGTGTATTGGTGTTCTGAAATGTGTGTGTGGAGGTCTCTTGATGTTTTGCCCACGTATAATTTGCTGCAGTCATTACTCTGAAGGGGGGTGTTAATGTTGCAGTTTGAAAACTGGAGTGTAAAGCACCCTTCTGGCAAGACAATGATGGAGTGAATGATGGTGAAAGTTTTTCTTTTTTGGGCCACCCTGCCTTGGTGGGAATTGGCCAGTGTGTTAATAATAAATAATAAAAAAATAAATTACGAGGGATTATGTATACCCCTGCAGAGGATGGAAGCTTGTCCTGTCTATTACTGGTAATGTCCTTGATGGTCGTGGTTGTGGAGGTAGATACTTGGAATGAGGTATTGGAAAAGATGTTGGAAACATGTTTGGCAATGGAGTTGGTGGGGAGGACTATGTATCTCTTCTCGGCAGTGTCTTCTCTGGGTGTGTTGAAGATGTCTAATGCCTGTCGTCTGCAGTCTCTGATGAAGTGATGAGGATAGTGAAGTTTGGCAAATACTTGTTCAATGAGTTCCTTGAGGAAGAATGCACTGTAATTGAACAAGTATTTTCCAAACTTCACTATCCTCTTCACTTCATCAGAGACTTCGGACAACAGGCATTTAAACATCTTCAACACACCCAAAGAAGACACTGCCAAGAAGAGATGCACAGTCCTTCCCACCAACTCCATTGCCAAACACGTTTCCAGCATCTTTTTCAATACCTCATTCCAAGTGGGGTGGGATTAAATTATGGGGAATCAAATACAAAATGGGAATTGACAGTTACTTTTTGCTGATGATACTGTGCTTATGGGAAATTCTAAAGAAAAATTGCCAAGGTTAGTGGACGAGTTTGGGAGTGTGTGTAAAGGTAGAAAGTTGAAAGTGAACATAAGAGTAAATTGACGAGGGTATCAAACGATTTAGATAAAGAAAAAATTGATATCAAATTGGAGAGGAGGAGGATGGAAGAAGTGAATTTTTCAGATATTTGGGAGTTGACATGTCAGCAGTTGGATGTATGAAGGATGAGGTTAACCATAGAATTGATGAAGGAAAAAAGGTGAGTGGTGCATTGAGGTATATGTGTAGACAAAAAATATTATCTATGGAGGCAAAGAAGGGAATGTATGAAAGTATAGTGGCACCAACACTCTTATATGGGTGTGAAGTTTGGGTTGTAAATGCTGCATCGAGGAGGCGGGTGGAGGTGGTGGAGATGTCCTGTCTAAGGGCAATGTGTGGTGTAAATATTATACAGAAAATTCAGAGTGGAAATTAGGTGTGGAATTAATAAAAGTATTAGTCAGATGGCTGAAGAGGGGTTGTTGAGGTGGTTTGGTCATTTAGAGAGAATGGATCAAAGTAGAATGACATGGAGAGCGTATAAATCTGTAGGGGAAGGAAGACGGGGTAGGGGTCATCCTCGAAAAGGTTGGAGGGAGAGGGTAAAGGAGGTTTTGTGGGCGAGGGGCTTGGACTTCCAGCAAGCGTGCATGAGTGTGTTAGATAGGAGTGAATGGAGACAAATGGTATTTGGGACCTGACGAGCTGTTGGAGTGTGAGCAGGGTAATATTTAGTCAAGGGATTCAGGGAAACCGGTTATTTTTATATAGCCGGACTTGAATCCTGGAAATGGGAAGTACAATGCCTGCAATTTAAAGGAGGGGTTTGGGATACTGGCAGTTTGGAGGGATATGTTGTGCATCTTTATATGTATATGCTTCTAAATTGTTGTGTTCTGGGCACCTCTGCAAAAATACTGATTATGTATGAGTGAGGTGAAAGAGTTGAATGATGAAAGTATTTTCTTTTTGGGGATTTTCTTTCTTTTTGGGTCACCCTGCCTCGGTGGGAGACGGCCAACTTGTTAAAAAAAAAAAAAATTGGCAGAGAGCATATTTAGTTTCTTTTCATAAAAAGAAAGTGGGCAAGGGAGTGTATTAGTTTAGTGAAAGAAGTTTTACATTCAAAGAAAGTTTTCTAATCTAGTAGGAAATAGTGCTGTTAGATTTATGTTCTGATATGGGGTTTATTTAGTTAATGAAACCTTTTTTTCAGCAATCAGCTTAATTGCTGACACTTAATGCAGCTATTTCTTTTGCTATTAGTTATAAGTGTTGATGTGATGTGATGGTTGCAGTGTCAGGGAATAATGCTTCTCTTTAGTCATTTCTAAATGTGACTTATTCCTCATCTCATGATGATTTTCATATACAGTACCAGTATTTTGCCATAGGTCATGTCATTTATCATTTATGTTTAAATGAGATTTTATAAACAGTTTTATTGTTATTTTTTCTTCAAGGCCATTGTTTGGAGGAGAGAATGACTTCCAGGTGGTTTTAAAAGAAGCATTTCCAGAACTTCGGACTCGCAAACTAACACGACGGCAATGGGGAATGATTCGCCGTATGATGGGTAAACCTCGACGTTGTTCACAGGTATGCTGTTGCCTCGTGAAATTAAAATGTTCCCATACTAAATAGTGAGAGTTAGTTACATATGTTGATTCCACAGTTTTGACATACTTTGGAAAGATAGTCTTGCTTATACTTCTAAGCTACTTTCCATTACTTCTCTGGATAGAATAAAAAATAAAATTATTTCATTTGTATTGATCAATATTGAATGTTTTTATTTTCAACCTCTTACCAAAAGGATGTTTTTCTTTCTTAAATGTTTTCACATACCTTAGTCATTGCAGTAAGTTATTTTATATCACTAATTTTAACTATAACTAATATGGGTTTACCTTCACTTTATGCAACAACCCTACTTCTACCAGGAATTTGCTATATGCATTAAAAATTTGCTTATGAGATTGGAATGGGTGGTCACACTATTTTCACTCGTGTATGATCACCCAGCCCCAGGACCACTTGATTCTTGACAGTATATTATTAACCCTTAAACTGTCCAAATGGAGATCTACATTTGCACTGCTAGCGCTCCAAACGTAGATCTGCTTTTTTTTTACATTTGAAAGCATGTAAAATAAAACAGATCTACATTCAGAGTGCTAGCAATGCAAAACTAGATCTATGTTTGGACAGTTTAAGGGTTAAATATCATTCTGAATTGGTTTATATTAATATTCACAAGAAAGGCATCATTAGAAAGAAAATTTTATGGTAGATTCAGTGAGCTTGTGTAGAGGGTAATGTGTGTTGTTTCGTGCCTCACCCACTAAACACCTCCAGGACATATGAGCTTCCATCCTTCCCTGCCAGTACAATTCTTGACCATTCTGTACCAAAAAAATATAGGCTCTTTATACATGCATAAAATGAAGGTAGTGAGGCATTGAGGGAATGAGGCAAGGAAGGAAGTAGTCAGGGACAGGGAGGTAGTGAAGGACATGGCCAAAAGTCCAGGCCAGGGGCCTCCCTCCTTGGCTCCAAGCCAACTCACTTCCCTTGTACCCCTCCTCTTTCCCTTGGCTGAGGCTGGGGCCTCCTTCCCTGGTCTGCAGGCTACCCATCCACCACCATGCCTTATCAACTACCCTCCTTCTCCTCCCTCCCCACCTGCCAACCACTCGTGTACTAACCCAGTGTAAATAATAAATCTTCAGTTCTTGATCAGTATCTTCTAAAAGGAATGTGAGCTAGTTATACATATATGAAATGAACATTTATAAAATATGAAAATGTATGAATGCTTTTGGTAAGAACTGAGAAAACAAATGTGGAATCTACAGATTCTCAAAATGAATCCATAACTTTTACATGGGTCTGCTTTCCTGTGCTATCACCTGGGAAACATAGCATAAGGCAAGGACTCCTGTACTGTATATGCATTTTTATGACAATTCATGTGTCATGAACTAGGCTCTCTTGAAGTACTGTGCCCTTTTTTGTACACTACTTGTTATTTTGTTTAGTACAGGTCCGCCATCACGAATCCGGCGTCATTGGATCTGTAGTGTGCCGGATTATTGAGTTTGCCGGATTACAGAGTGGTTAGGTTAGAATACATTTAATGAAGTTAACCAACTTGACTGACACAAGAAAGTTCATTGAACATCAGCAAAAATCGAACATATCTGCTACTTTGAGCTCAATTTCAAGGTACTTTTCATCGTGAAACCAATCAAAATCATATCTATTTCTGTAATATATCTTCCATTCTATCAGATGAGACCGAAAAAAAATGAGAATACAGTCATAAAAACCATACAAAAATATACCCCTAAGGGGTGGCTAATGGCTGAGAAATAAACTACATGGTCCAATTTTTTTTTTCATTTTTGGTGTACGTTAATTAAGAAACATCTTTCCATCATGCATTGCCCAAGTTTCAATAAGATAACCCAACAAACAACTGAGAAAAAAATGTTTACCAAAAATCATATATGGCAAGCCCAAGCCAGGTACTGGAAATAAGTCACTTTGACTTTTTTTGGGTTATCCTCGGTTCTCTATACGTATGCTGCTATGTATGATAATCCATGTAACTGGTATTTGTGTATACCTGAATAAACTTACTTCTATTCTGTTGACTGAGTACAAGAAACTGCCCATTCACTTATTTCAACTACCCAATAAAGTGGTCAGAAATTGACAGTTGGGCCAATTTCACACAAATTTCAAACGATGCCAAAATCAGGATAGGGTCCAGAATAAACAATGCAGACATTCCTGGCACTAAATAATTTCTCTTCATTAGTCATGGCTCCTGGCCCCTCTTATATTACTCTTGCCTACCATTTGGAATTTTTATTCACACAAAAAATAGAAGATTTACTGTTATGCAGACTACTGCATTATTGTAATAATTGTATAAATAATGTCAGCCCATTTGTGACTGCGTATTGGAATTTGGACTGGCCAGTCGGACAACATGTATTGGATGGTACATCATTTGTTTACTCTTGAACATTGCCAAAAAATCGAACATTTCTGCTACTTTGAGCTCAGTTTCAAGGTACTTTTTGTTGTGAGGGCAATCAAAATCATATCTATTTCTGTAATATATCTTCCATTCTATCAAATGAGACCAAAAAAAAGCAGAATACAACCATAAAAACCATACCGAAAAATGTACCTCTAATTTTTGAACGCCGCTCACCCCCTAAGCTTCACTGGTGGGTCATTCTTAAGATAGAGAGCAGAGAGGGTGATGGTGCTTCCCATACTTTCCGTTATAATTATACATACTAACCAGCCTATGTGAGTGTTCTTACCCAATCCACGTTATCGAACCCCTCTAAGGGGCGGCTAATGGCTGAGAAGTGAACTCCGTTATTTATGGTCTGATTTCTTTCATTTTTGGCGTACGTTAAGAAGTATCTTTCCATCATACATTGCCCAAGTTTCAATAAGATAGCCAAACAAACAACTGAGAAAAAAAATATTTACCAAAAATCATATATGGGAAGCGTAAGCGAGGTGCTAGAAATAAGTCACTTTGACTTTTTTGGGTTATCTTAGGTTCTCTACACATATGCTGCTATGTATGATAATCTATATAGAGAGAATAGATTTTCTGTTTCAGTTTTATGGTGCATTATGAGTGTATATCACAGCCCTGTGCTATACTCTGTTTTCTCTAATAAAGTGGACCCCTGGTTAACGATATTTTTTCATTCCAGAAGTATGTTCAGGTGCCAGTACTGACCGAATTTGTTCCCATAAGGAATATTGTGAAGTAGATTAGTCCATTTCAGACCCCCAAACATACACGTACAAACGCACTTACATAAATACATTTACATAATTGGTTGCATTGGGAGGTGATAATTAAGCGGGGGTCCACTGTATAAGCCCCCCAAGACAGGGATAGGAGGATGATACTTCCATCTCATATGCTTTTCATACCTCCATCAAACTGCTCGGTATTATGCCAAATATTGTGCATTCTGGATTATTTAACATGTTTTTATATTATTTATATTGTTTATTATGTCATATTAGATCAATTGTGAGAGGTAAATAATCCGTAGTGTTGATATGAGCATAATAGTAAAGCATATTCCCCTTCATCACGAGACTGGGCTCATGGCAACCGACAGTGGCTTCAAAGCCACCTTATCTTTTATGGACGATGTACTGTGTATGTGCTTTACACAATGAGAAGCATTTCTTTTATTCGTTGGAACCATGGCTAGGGCTAAAAGTAAGCAGATTATAACAATAAATGGAGAAAAACAAATTGGAATGACTTATGCAGCAAGTAGCGCCACAAAACAGTACCAGCAGGTTGGTGTGGCGACTCTGGAAATTTGAAATTATGTGCTGAATAACTGATGGAACCGGATATCTGATTGTCAGATTTGTGATGGCGGACCTGTACCTTGCTTTATATTTTTCAAATGTTATTAATTTATATCTTTCTTTTACTTAATAATACTTTTTTATTCAGGCATTTTTTCAAGAAGAGTGTCAATCTCTGGACAAGAAACGTCATGTATTAAGATTGTTACAACAAAGAAAGATAACAGATATTTCATCTTTGAAAGACTTTCCTCTGCCGAATCAAATACCCATGCAACTGGTAATTGGTACAAAGGTAAAATCTTTTCTTTTGCAATTATATATAAGGTATTGTACATTTATAGAAATCTCCCCCCCTTTTTTTTAGACCAAAAATCAGGACACACTATAAATAAAATTATTTTGTGAGGCCTTCTGCTCAAAAAGCAAAAAGCTGAGTAAATTGTGATTACAGGAGTGAGATAACTCAGATAGCAAAAGTTTTCAAACAGATATAAAAAATAATAGACCAAGTGAAAGATTGTTACTGCAAGTAAACATTCAGTTAATTTTTTTTTTTTTTTTTTGGGGGGGGGGGGGGGGGTAATGTTTGCATTCTTAAACTAAATTTGGTAGACCACCATGCCCTAAAACTGGAACAGATGGGATCCCTAAGTTTGGAGAATCAATTGAAATGTGAATTGCCTGTGTACCCTTGGAATCAGGAGTGATGGTGAAGGTTTCCTTGTTTTGGCCACCTTACCTTGGAAAATGAACTGTTAAAAAAATTAAATTACTACAGTATACTGGTATACTGATGAGAGGTTTAGGGGCTTGGACATGCAGCAGGGATGTGTGAATGTGTTAGATAGGAGTGAATGGAGACGAATGGTTTTGGGGACCTGATGAGCTGTGGGAGTGTGAGCAGGATAATATTTTGTGAAGGGATTCATGGAAACCAATTAGTTGAACTTGAGTCCTGGAGGTGGGAAGTACAGTGCCTGCACTTTAAAGGAGGGGTTTGGGATATTGGCTGTTTGGAGTGACATCTAAACTGTCATATCCGAGTGACTCTGGAAAGACAGTGATTATGTGTGAATGATGGTGAAAGGCTTTTTCTTTTTTGGGTGACCCTCCCTTGGTGGGAGATAGCTGATGTGTTGAAAATAAAAAATATATAATTTTCAGTTTAGGTATGTAAATAATTTTTTTTTGTATTTGAAAATTGTGATTGATAAATTATTAACATTGCAATGTCCTATTTAATTTATTAGATATTCATGTCAGGAAAGCCGTTTTTGTTTTCTCTACCTATGTATTGAGTACAAGTCTACAATGATTGAAATTTTGAATGCATGTCTCTTCATTAAATGAAACTTTATTGCAATTAGTTCTTCCCATTATTATTATTACTATCATTTTTTTTTTTTACCTAGGTGGCCATCTCATGCCAAAGTAGGGGGAGTTGAAGAAAATACTTCACCACTATTCATTCCATCAGTCTTGCTAGAAGTATGCTGACATCGCAATTCAGATTATCCTCCAAATGTAACATCACCACCTGTGCTTCAGAGGGCAAGCACTGCCTTTCTCACCCTCAAGTCTTAGTCTGGACTAGTCAATTTTTCTGAATCCCTTCTTAACAGTTACCTAGTTCACAGCACATCCATTAAAAACCACTTATCTCCATTCACTACTGTCTAAACATGTTAAGAAAGTTGGCCCCAGTACCAGTCCTTACTACACTGCTGTGTCATCTCTTATTTTTACTCCTATTATTCTTGTTCAGTATTCCTCAATCCATGCAAGTGGATTTCCTGTTACCCCCAGCTTACCTCAGTTTTCCATGTATATATATATTTTTTCAGTTATTAAAATTGCATATACATCTCATATTCGCATTCTGATTATATCAAGAGGAAAGCCAAGATGTGAATTATTTTGTCAAATGATCACTATTTTCATGATTTTTTTTTATTTTGTTTTTTTGCTACTTAGCCCCTTAATTAAGCCATCTTGTAATATTTTTTTTTTTTTAACTTTTATGGCCATCTCTCGCCAAGGAAAGGTGACCCAACAGTTTTGTAATTCTTTATAATAATTATCACTTTTAAAATTCAAAGCTTAAATAAATTTGTTAGTGAAAATCTGTGGTAGTAATTTTAAATGACATTATCCAGCTAATTACATGCCTTTAGGAAATGTCTAGTGAGTTGGGTAAAGTTATGCTAATTTTTTCTTCCCATCTTGCTGTGTTTGGGTGACTCCACATACAACTAATTATTTCTAATATTTTTAATAACTGATTATAGTAAATTTTTTGTAGGCATTTATTTTGTTTAATGCATTGCAGTATAAAAAGCTTTTGTATGTAAATAGTAGTAGTATGAAGAAATGATCAGATCAGTAATGAATAATGAAATTGAATGAGAATGAAAAAATTCATTAATTACTATGGTAAATTGTAGTTTAATAGAGGTGTGAGTGCAGTCATCAGGTTGGACAGTGTGAACGGGATGTTTGAAGCTAATGCTTGTTGTTTAGGAAAGACTAACTTAAGAGGTAGGAGATTGTAAGTACAGTATAAAAAATGTCAGATTGTTGAATGACAAACTTCTCTCTTATCCTAAGGTTACAGCTCGAATAAGAAAACCAGAGAATGGATTATACACTGGTGTAATTGATGCTGTAGATACATCAGACAATACATACAGGATAACATTTGATCGTCATGGTATTGGTACACATTCCATCCCTGACTATGAGGTTCTGGTGAGTGTTCTCTGCTGATAAACAAATTTAACCCTTTCAGGGTCTGTGCCGTAGATCTACGGCTTTACATTGAGGGTCCAAACCGTAGATCTACGCCATGAGCTGGTGTATAGCCCTTGTGGTTTAGCACTTCTTTTTGATTATAATACTAATACGCCATGAGCTCAGCTCAGCTCTGATAAGCTGTGAGTGGTAAATTTGGGCCTAGATATGAGAGAATACATCTCTGTGGTATGTGTGCACCACAAAAAACAAATCCTGCAGTACACAGTGCATAATGAGAAAAAACTGAGACCGTAATCTTCAATTAAAACAGTGACTTTGCAGTGTTTTGGTCTCATTAGATAGAATCGAAGACATATTACAGAAATAGAGCTGATTTTTGATTGGTTTTAGTACTGAAAATGGCTTGAAACTGAGCCCAAAGTGGCGGAAATGTTAAATTTTGCCGAAGTTCAAGAGTAAACAAATGACCTCACACGTCTAATACATGCCAGCTGGTGGGTCTTATATACGTTCACAAATGTGCTGATATTGTTTATACAATTACGTATTACAATATTACATGACAGTAAATCTTCTAGTTTTTGGTTTGAATAAAAATTCATTATGTGAATTAAAAATCAAAATGGAATTCATTTGTAAAGCCTGAAAATGTAACTAATGAACAGAGGAAATGTTAGTTTAGTGCCAAGAATGCCAGCATTGTTTATTCTGGACCCTGTTTTGAGATTGGAATATTTTGAAATTTGCATTAAATTGGCCAAATTACCAGTTTCCGATCACTTTATTTTGTAGTTGAAACAGTTGACTTGGCAATTTCTTGTGCTCAGTCAGTAGAAGTAATACTAGTGAAATAGCTAAGAATTTGGTCGACTGGAGTAATGTAGTTGACCTAAACTGGGAGTCAAAGTCGCAAAACCGCCGATGCGTGACTATCGCTGACACGTCAAAATTCACGAGAGCATAATTTTGTCAATTTTCCACCAAATTTCGTATTTTTTGTTTTATTACCTTTAGAAAAAGATTCTCTACCATTTCACAAGAAAAAATAACAAACTTATTTTTTGAAAATTCTTGGACCCTGGTGTGCACTTTGAAATTTGGCCTCTGGACACTGAAAGGGTTAAGTGCTATTAAAAAAGTGTTGAATATTCACTTATGTTGTAGAGACTGTGCAGTATTTTAGAGCTTAAGGAATAGTTTAACATAGGCAGTGAACTTAATATTGAATGGTGTATTATGGACAATTAAGTGATAGTTATGTAAGGAAGAGTACAATACGTAATGTAGGTTATTGAAAGGTAATGAAGTCAGAAAGGTGTATTGAATAAGGTATGTTGAGTGTTGGTAATAGCATGAATAACATTTAAGTGAGTTCTTTGGAAGGTTGTTATAACAAGACAAAGCTGATTGGCACTGGAGGTTTAAAGATTAAACTTGAAATGCCTGAAATGGTATGCATAACTGGGCTTTTCCTTGTATGAAATATACAGTGTTAATCTACTATTGGAACTAATGTATATTTTTTGGGAAACTGTTATTATCATGGAATGCTAATGAAACACAGCCTCTCCTCACTTAGCGATATACTCTTTTACCGATGACTCGGACTTACGACAGGCTCCCTGACAAGTATGCATACCTAACTAATGTATATTAGAGCTGATTTCCTCTATTCTGTTTATTACAGTATGCAGTACACAACTTAAAAATATACTAAAACTTATAAATGGTGCAAAGGTGACATTAAAATATTATCAAAGATGGTTGACACAAACCCACTACCATTATAGTGTGCTCCTTGCCTAGTGATGAATTTGTTTACCGATGTGGTCCTAGGAACAGAACTACGTTGTTAAGTGAGGAGAGGCTGCACTTTAATAAGCAAAATATTGGTGAGTATTGGAATTGTATGAATGTAAAGCAGATGAATCTTGGAAAAAAAAAACTAAATCTGTAGCTATATTAGGCAAGTGGTATAGATTCAGAAAAGGACTAAGCGAGGTTACAAGTGTAATAACTATACATTCCTGAGAATAGTACAGTACTGTAAAACTTTTTGAAAGATTCATTCTTCCATACTCTGCTCTAATACTTCATAATTTAATTGATTCAGAAAATGAAATATGTTTCAGAATTTCACTTTGAGAATTGAAGTTAAAGCCATATTTTTGTTCTAGTCAAGTGAGGTCGCAGAAATTATGCCTCTGTCAAGTTTCTCTCAGAAGTTCCGTCCACGCCCTCCTATGGGCATGGTCACTCCCCCTCGACCATTACTACCTAAGCAAGAACCTGGAAGTGTGGGAGCTGACAGTCCAGCACTCTCACTGACCAATGATCCTATTTTAGCTCAATCACCCCTCAAGTCCTCCAAAATTTCAATGGATGATACCCTTGGGGGATTTCGTGTTAAATGCCTTGTGCAAATTGTGAGTAAAATTTTCTTGCATATTTTTATATTTCATTTTCAATGGATTTCTTTTTATCTTTTTTATACCTCCAATTTTTTAACATTTCTGGTACATATTTAGTAAGTTAGTCATTTCTATTAATTTTTTTTTTTTTAAACTTTTTACTTTTACATATCTGAGGTGTTATTGAAAAGTTCCTGGACTGCCGTGAAATAATGTATAGGCTTACCTAATCACCTAGTTGAAGTTGTCTCCCACGAAATACTCTCCTTGTGAGGCTATTCACTGACCCCAGCACCTCTTCCACTTCTTGAAGCATTTCTGGAACTCCTCTTTCCTAATGGCATCTAGCGTGACTTTTGATTCTGCTTGAATCAATCATTAACCCTTCACTGTCAAGACCCATGCTCACAAACTTGCTCTTGAGTGTCGAAGAATCCCCCATTTTAATAAAAATTTGCTCTGTCACCACCTGATTTACTACATTTCTGTTGACTTTCGTTTATTAATATCAGACCTTGTTTATGCACTTTTATAAATCTCTACTTGCACTCAATAGACACATTTTTTGCTAGCATATTAATGTTTTAGGATTTGCATAAATTGTCTGTCTATTGTGGAGAAATTAAAAGTTGCAATTGCTTCTATTGTAATGACATTGTTAAAACAGCTGGTTCTGAATTTAAATTATTGAAAGTGCAATCTAAATTTTTTTATTGTATATTATTAATGAGATACATTGAGATGTATGCCTTAATAACAATTTTTTTACTTTCTAGGTAAAACTTTCAAAAATTCTTAGAGCCAAGCGGGAAAAAATAGGTACTTTACGAGATATGAATGGTCAAGCAGAAAAACAACGAAGTTATGGCCAAGAACTGAATGTAGACTTCCAGCGTAAATATGCAGGATTAGTTTTAGAAATTGAGAAGCTAAATCGTGACCTGAATCAGCATCTCCTGGCAGTCCAGCAGTTTTGCCAAGAGGTGAGTAATTTTTGTATAGACCTTTGTGGAAGGAGATGTTACTGACTAGTCTCTAAAAAGTATAATGGTAAGTCAAGGTTTTTAGCTACTCTTTAAAAAAATTTTTTTAATCTTTTACAATGTCATTAAGTAAAAGTCTTAATTGCCTTTCTGAAATCTTATAAGCATATCACACACAGGCAGAATATGCAAAAGAATATGGAGATTCATATGCAGAGCTTATTATGTATTACAAAGATTTAAAGAGGGGATCCAGACAGCATATTTAATAGGTTATTGGACTAAGGCATTGCCTGTGGAGAAGTATGGGGGTCTGGAGGACTATATTAATGCACTATGATATTTAATTATTCAGTGAAAATTTGCGACTGTTTTATCCAAAACATAAGCAACTTTTATACACACTTCCAGGCTTCACCTATCTTTTCGGATTCTCCTTTGACTCTCCCAAAAGTTCCGTCACCAGCAGAGAGCAACTGACAACAGCCATTCCATGTCATTCATTATCACTTAGGCCTCTATCTTCAACACTAGCAGTTATTCCCTTTATATCCAAATATATAAATATACAGCCACAGTTTGGGATATTGGCAGTTTGGAGGGATATGTTGTGTATCTTTATATGTGTATGCTTCTAAACTGTTGTATCCTGAGCACCTCTGCAAAAACAGTGATAATGTGTGAGTGTGGTGAAAGTGTTGAATGATGATGAAAGTATTTTCTTTTTGGGGATTTTCTTTCTTTTTTTGGTCACCCTGTCTCGGTGGGAGTTCCGTCACCAGCAGAGAGCAACTGACAACAGCCATTCCATGTCATTCATTATCACTTAGGCCTCTATCTTCAACACTAGCAGTTATTCCCTTTATATCCAAATATATAAATATACAGCCACAGTTTGGGATATTGGCAGTTTGGAGGGATATGTTGTGTATCTTTATATGTGTATGCTTCTAAACTGTTGTATCCTGAGCACCTCTGCAAAAACAGTGATAATGTGTGAGTGTGGTGAAAGTGTTGAATGATGATGAAAGTATTTTCTTTTTGGGGATTTTCTTTCTTTTTTTGGTCACCCTGTCTCGGTGGGAGATGGCCGACTTGTTGGAAAAAAAAAAAAAAAAAAAAACAGCCACAGTGATGTCACACATCCTTTCCTAAGGGTTGTACAAGAAAATATTCCCCTCCTCTTGTACATATTCTAACCTGAGCCTCGCTTGTCTTGTAAACGTGCATTGTAGCCCTTAGTAACCTACCACCTATTTCATATATTAGTAACAATAGTAGTCCACTGAGTAGCGAATGCATTACGTTACTACAAATAGGTGATTTATTCAGATTAGCGTTATTCAAGATGAAGAACATATGGGAAAATTAGGCTTTTGGCCTTTGGAATGGGTAGAGCTGCCATGAAAGGTAGAAATAGATCTTTCAACACACCATCCGTATCCCACCGAGGTGGGGTGGCCCAAAAGGAAAAGCAAAAGTTTCTCCTTTTACATTTAGTAATATATACAGGAGAAGGGGTTACTAACCCTTTGCTCCTGGCATTTTAGTTGCCTTTTATGACACTCGTGTCTTATGAAGGAAGAAGTCTGTTCCACTTCCCCATGGAGTCTGTTGCATACTTTTTTTTTTTTTTTTTTTTTTTTTTTTTTTTTTTTTTTTTTTTTTTTTTTTTTTTTTTTTACTAAGTCATCTGTCTCCCACTGAGGCAGGGTGACCCGAAAAGAAAGAAAATCCCCAAAGAGAAAATGCTTTTATCATCATTATTCAACACTTTCACCTCACTCACACATAATCACTGTTTTTTCAGAGGTGCTCAGAACACAACAGTTAGAAGCATATATGTATAAAGATACACAACATATCCCTCCAAACTGCCAATATCCCAAACCCCTCCTTTAAAGTGCAGGCATTGTACTTCCCATTTCCAGGACTCAAGTCTGGCTATATGAAAATAACCAGTTTCCCTGAATCCCTTCACTAAATATTACCCTGCTCACACTCCAACAGCTCATCAGGTCCCAAATACCATTTGTTTCCATTCACTCCTATCTAACATGCTCACGCACGCTTGCTGGAAGTCCAAGCCTCTCGCTCACAAAACCTCCTTTACCCCCCTCCCTCCAACCTTTTTGAGGACGATCCCTACCCCGCCTTCCTTCCCCTACAGATTTATGCGCTATCCATGTCATTCTACTTCGATCCATTCTCTCTAAATGACCAAACCATCTCAACAACCCCTCTTCAGCCCTCTGACTAATACTTTTATTAACTCCACACCTTCTCCTAATTTTCACACTCCGAATTTTCTGCATAATATTTACACCACACATTGCCCTTAGACAGGATATCTCACTGCCTTCGACCATCTCCTCGCTGCAGCATTTACAACCCAAGCTTCACACCCATATAAGAGTGTTGGTACCACTATACTTTCATACATTCCCTTCTTTGCCGCCATAGATAATGTTTTTTTGTCTCCACATATACCTTAACGCACCACTCACCTTTTTTCCTTCATCAATTCTATGATTAACCTCATCCAACATGAATCCATCCGCTGACACGTCAACTCCCAAATATCTGAAAACATTCACTTCTTCCATACTCCTACTCTCCAATTTGATATCCAATTTTTCCTTATCTAAATCATTTGATACCATCATCACCTTACTCTTTTCTATGTTCACTTTCAACTTTCTACCTTTACACACACACTTCTAAACTCATCCACTAACCTTTGCAATTTTTCTTTAGAATTTCCCATAAGCACAGTATCATCAGTAAAAAGTAACTGTGTCAACTCTCATTTTGTATTTGATTCCCCATAATTATGTTACCTATAAGGCTTATGATAGGGTGGATGGGGGAGCAATGTGGCAGATGTTGCAAGTGTTTGGAATAGATGTAAGTTACAAAATGCTGTAAAGAGTTTGAGGATAGTGAGGCTCAGGTTAGGGTGTGCAGAAGAGAGGGAGATTACTTTACAGTAAAAGTAGGTCTTAGACAGGGATGCACAATGTTACCGTGGTTATTTAACATATTTATATTTATTTATTTATTTTTTTTTTTTTTCCAACAAGTCGGCCGTCTCCCACCGAGGCAGGGTGACCCAAAAAAGAAAGAAAATCCCCAAAAAGAAAATACTTTCATCATCATTCAACACTTTCACCACACTCACACATTATCACTGCTTTTGCAGAGGTGCTCAGAATACAACAGCTTAGAAGCATATATGTATAAAGACACACAACATATCCCTCCAAACTGCCAATATCCCAAACCCCTCCTTTAAAGTGCAGGCATTGTACTTCCCATTTCCAGGACTCAAGTCCGACAATATGAACATAATAGATGAGGTTATAAAAGTAAATGCTAGGGGGTTGGGGAGAAGGGTGGGATTAAATTATGCAGATTCAGATACAAAATGGAAGTTGACAGTTACCTTTTTCTGTTGATACTGTGCTTTTGGGAGATTCAGAAGAGAAGTTGCAAAGGTTAGTGGATGAGTTTGGAAGCGTGTGTAAAGGAAGATAGCTGAAAGTGAACATAGATAAGAGTAAAGTGATGAGGGACTCGAATGATTTAGATAAGGAATTGGATGTCAGACTGGAGGAAGGAAGTATGGAAGAAATGAATGTGTTCAGATATTTGGGAGTAGACCTGTCGGCAGATGGGTTTTTGAAGGACAAGGTAAACCATGAAATTGATGAAGGAAAAAAGGGTGGATGGTGCATTGAGGTATCTGTGGAGACAAAGAACATTATCCATGGGGACAAAGAAGGGAATGTATGAGAGTATAGTGGTACCAACACTTACATGGGTGTGAAGCATGAGTAATGAAAGCTGCAGCAGTTAGGAGGCTGGAGGCAGTGGAGATGTCGGGTCTAAGGGCTATGTGTGGCTTTAATATTATGCAGAGAATTCATAGTGTGAAAATTAGGAAGAGGTGTGGGAGTTACTAAAAATATTAGTCAGAGGGCTGAGGAGGGGTTGTTGAGCTGGTTTGTCATTTAGAGAGGAAGGAGCAAAATAGGATGACTTAGAGGGTATATAACTCCGTAGTGAAGGGAAGGAGGGGTAGGGGTTGTCCTAGTAATGGATGGAGGGAGGAGGTAAGAGGTTTTGTGTGCAAGGGGCATGGACATAGAGCAGGCATACGTGAGCATGTTAGATAGGAGTGAGTGGAGACGATGGTTTTTGTGACGTGGTGAGCTGTTGGAGTGTGAGCAGGGTAATATTTTGTGAAGGAATTCAGGGAAATCGGTTAGCCAGACTTGAGTCCTTGAGGTGGAAAGTACAATGCCTACATTTTAAAGGAGGGGCTTTGGATATTTGCTGTTTGAAGTGACCTCTGAACTGCTGTGTCTGCATGCCTTTGCAAAGACCTTGATTGTGTGAATGATGGTGAAAGTGTTTTTCTTTTTTTGATCACCCTGCCTCAGTGGGAGATGTCCACTGTGAAAAAAAAAAAAAATATTTATTAATGTTTTTATATTTTTCCTTTAGATTGCACCTGAGCAGTCTGGTCCCACACTGTTGCCTGGGCAAATACGAGAGCGGTGCTATGAGGAAGCGGCAACCATTGTGGATGTAACTAATCACTCGAGTGGCTCTCCCCAAGTGTCTAGCCCAGCCATCCTTGATCTTATCACTAAACTCACTTCACTTATGCTTCAGATGAAGGTTTGCATTTAAGATACATTGGTCTTTCTTTTTATTAAATTCATTTCATAGTTTGTTAATCTTATTTTGTAAATTTAATGAAAATATGAATTTTATCACAACCTTTGTTTCAATATCTTGCGCTTCCTTATTTACCAAAAACCTCTTTGCTGCCTCTGATACTTTCACTGCTGACTGGACTAATCAAGCAATTTATCTGTTTTTCATAAATATTGCTTCTTTTTGCCTGATGTGGTGTTGTATGTCGAACAAGTGACTTGTTACGTGACATTCTCTTTTCCAGCTCTAAACCATGGTATCATAGTCTGTATTTAGTATCCATTTTATTTATGGAATGGGGCTTCG